TATTGGATTATATTTTAACATAATAATTATTTTAGGATATTCAAGAAGGATATATAATGATGCAAGATTCAAATATCAGAGTTGCTTTAGGATAAAGAATATAATGGTAAATAATGGAATTGTGTAGATTAAATAAAATAAATATACCTGGTACAGATGATAAAGTGAAAATTTAACTTTTAAATATGAATACAACAATTAGTGATCTGAAAGATATTTAATCTAAAATTTAATCATCAACAGAAGTTAGTGGAAGATAAGATGAATTAATGACCACTAATTCTATTAAAATGATTAGTAGAGATAACAGTGGAAGTGAAAGCAATTAATTAGTTGATATTAATTAAGGAACTTCATAAATTATATCTAAAGCTTTTGAAATTATGAATTATGATATCACTGAATTTGATTAAGATTCTGATTCCATATTTTTTATTAGATATAATCTATTGAATGACTATTATTAAGCCACTTTAGAGAGTGTAGATCTTTATACTAATTAATTAATAGATTTAGCATATGATTCAAATGTTTTATTAATTTTATTGATTGTAGCATGTGTTTTTACTGTTATTTCTATACCATGGATTGCTTGTACTTTTAATTTAGTTTCATAAAATTAAGAAGAAGTCATAAAATTATTTTTAGAGATACCTTTGGCAAAAGTTAAATAATTATTTGCTAAATGTGAAGCTTTTTCAAACACTCTTCAAATTGGGGAAGATGAAGATGCAAATTAAGAAAATGAATTATCATTTGAAGAAAATGAAGAAGGAGAAGGTATTGTAGAAGAATTTGGAAGAAGAAAGAAAAGAAAGAAGTATAAGTATGATTCAAAAGATAAAAGGAATTTTTATATAAAATTCATTATTTCTATTGGATTACTAATAGCTTATTTTATAGCCCATTATTTAATTGGAACCAATTTATAGAGTTCTATGTAATAATTAATATAAGAAATGAATGCTACATCAATGGCTGTTCCTTCTATTACATTTGCAAATAATGTATTTAGATAAATGTTATGGGATTCCAACTTCCCTGTTAAAAATAATGTATCTAAAACTATTTCTACAAACTTTGTCAAAGATCTTTATAATTTGAATACAAATATGCAAAAAGATCATTCATTAAATTTAGGTTATCATAATTCTATTTATAATGATTATTTTGATTCAATAATGAAAGCTGGAGCATGCAATGAAGTCATAAAAGTTGCTGGAGTAGATTTGGTTACTTGTTAGGCTTTCGTTAAAGGAATTGTAGATGAATCATTAGCCCTAGCATTATCAAGACACTTTGAAAATCTGAGATATTTACTTACAGTTTATGATTCTCTTTTGAATGATTCCTCTGCTACTGCAATAGCTGGAACTGTTTATAATTTTACAACCAATACTTAATAGAATAAGATTCTATCACTTATGTATACCGATATTTCTGCTATTGAATTAAGTATAAATTCTAATATTTCTAAATAGATCAAATGCAAGACATATATATAAGATCAATATTTTAGTAGTTACTTATCGTTTTTAATGAAAGTTTGTAGAAAGATATAGACACAAACACTACAACAACAGTGACAATATTTATAGTATTCTTAGTTGTACTTGTGTTGGTGTATCTATTATTTTGGTGGCCAATAGCAAATAAAATAAATAATGAAGTAATTTTTATAATAATATTATTCTAGATAAGAAGAACTACACTCCTTTTATCAATGATACCCTTAAATTTAATTTAGAGAATCAAAGCTATAAGAGAATATTTGAATAGGATTCATAAAGTTGACTCTTGATTAAATATTACATAAATTAATTTATTAGTTTTTGATCCAATAAATTCCTTTTAATGAAAGTTTATTAAATTGTATAAAATAATTTTGAAAGTATATTCATAAATTATTAAAGCTTATTTAAAATATTTTATTTAAAAATATAATAATAAGATTCATTTTAATTGGTATAGCATATGATTAATGAAATTAAACATTGGAAATAGGAATGAAATCTCTTATAATAGGGATTGTAGATGAGATATAAAAAGAGAATATATAAATTAATAGATTATGCGATTCGAATGAGTTTTTGAAACTATACATTTGTTTGTTTACTAATATATTTGGATTTAAAAGACTATTAGCTGATGAAGAATTAGAAAATAATTTTTTAATGCAGTATCTTTATAGATTTAAGAAGATTATTAAAAAAGAAAATAGAAGTGATTATGTTTTTCATCATTATATGCAAGATGGATTAAGATGATAAAGTTTGAGTGTTTATAGACCCTTTTAAAGTTTATTATCATGGTTGATGAAAATGAATACACTAGCAAGAAAAGAGAACTCACTCTTTATTTTATAATAATCAACTTAATTGTAACTCGTATTTCTTCTAAAATTAATTAGATTCTTTTATGATTAATAATAAAGAAAAGCAGAATTATTTAAATAAAAATATTTTTATAAATTTTTGATGGCTTTAATATAATGAAAATAAATAATAACATATCATTTTTAATTTAATTATTGAATTTACATTTTGATTGCTCTTATTTATGATAAAGTAGACTCAATTTTTTTTTCTAGATCGAAATTTTGAGCTTTAGGAGAAGAATATTTTATAGGAGACCATAAATTTGAGGTTTTGTAAAATTATTGAGCAGATTCAGCAAATCTATGATTATCATTAGATTTTAATTCACTAAAAGAAGAATCCTTTACTGTAGATTCTTCTGTATTAATTTAATTAACTTTTTCTTTATTTCTATTTGAAGAACATATTGATTAAATAGATTTTTAATGACATTTAGATAATATTATATTTTTGCAATCAGAAAAGTTCTAAATTTATTTGTTCTTTTGTAAAGTTAATACTTATTTCTAATGATTACTAATTAGATTAAGATTATACTTATTTACTTCTTATAATTCTCTATTTTTTTTCATCAATTGTTAATTTATTTTTTTTTCTATTTCATAATTCCTAATCTATTTTTACAATTATGTATTGGTTTATTACAACATCAATATATAATTCTCATTTTATTTTTGCAGAATTATTGTATGGTCCATAGCTGATTAGAGATCCTTATTCAGTTATGTTACTTTACTCTCTAATAACTAGCTAATTGTAGTCAACAATTTACTTAATTTTTGCAAATCTCATCAGATAAACGTTCCTAAATTTATATTAATCCTATCTATGTATTATTATTATTATCTTCGCTTGTTTTTTCTCCCAAAGATAATCTTGATAAAGTAATTGATTAATCATAAAGATTTTAACCAAGTTTGAATTTCTCATAATAATCACGTTACAAGTATTAAGAAATATTTTATGAAGCATTTTCATATATATTATTAGGTGAGTTTTCTTCATTAACTTAACTTTGATTCATTATAAATAAATAAAAATAAAATACTATTTATTCCAAATTTAATTGTTTGAACTAAAACTGTAATATCAATTAATATCAAAATAAAGAAATTTAAATTCTTAAATAATGTTATTATAATTATATATACTCAATCTGAATCATCACCACCTATAGTTTTTTATTTGTGAATTGAAAACCAATTATCTTCCTTCTTTATCTTTCTTAATGTAATTAATATCTTATCCCCTTTTAGTGTGAATTTACTATTTGCAGCATCTAATTTACATTATGTTCTAGCAACTCCAAATGTCCAATTCTTATTTTAATAATCATGAATTTTAATTTCAAATGATCTTTCAAAAAATCTAGCTTAAAACTTTTCTAATGGATGTTTTGCTATATCTTTCAATTCAACTACAACTCTTGTATAATTATTCAATAATTACCTAACATTCATATCATCAGCATCCCAAAATGCAAATTTTGTTATATTGTTATAATGTATAGGCTTTTATGCAGCAACTTAAACATTCTATTAAACTGGTATAGGTTTCACTTTCTATACAATCACATCATCATTATTATTGAAAAAACTATTGACCAACATTGAAGTGTTTAAAATAGTCCTTACTTTTAAATATTGATACATTACCTATTATTGAAAATTATTTCACTTCCTAATGCTTTTTATAATTGATCTATAGTTTCTCCTTATTTAGATTCATAAATTTCCACAGCATTTCCAGAATGTATATATAATTTCATTTATAAAATTAATGAAAATATATAAGAAAAATATTATTATTTATAGATGTTGATAAAAGCATTGGCACATCAATAATTATAGAACTTTATTTGAACCCCTTTTTCTGAATCATCTCAGAAACAAGAAGTCAACTCATAGTTTTATTATTTTTGTTACAATTGCATTTGGTATCAAATATGAATTCCTTTAAAATTTATTGGTGTTGATTTAATAATAATTATTTAAATCAATAAAATTGTCATTAATATTGATATTAACAATATTATTCAAGTTTTAGTTAATTAAATCTAACATGTAAGATAATCAAACAATCTGCTTTAATCTTCAATCTAGTAACATAGGGAAATAACAACATATTACTGAACTTAAATTTAATGATCTTCTTGCCATTCCCCTTATGAAATCTATGTCTCTTTTGTAAGATGCAAAGGTTTAAATTGCTATTATTATATATTCATTAAAGTCTCTTTAATATTTTTTTAACTATAGATTCTATGTTTTTATTAACTTCTTATACTTTTTTGTTGCTTTTTAATAGCTTTATGAGATTTGCGTCTAAATTAGTTGATCTCTGTATTTCTTCTAAAAAAGTAAATTAGATAACTATATTACAATTTATTATTTTGTGATTCTTCATAAGGATTAATGGATTGTACAATTAAATCTTCGAATAAATTAGAGAAGTACTACTTTTCTTTTTCAATCTCTAAATTTTCATTTTCCATATCCTCATTAAACTACTCAAAAGAGAATAAGATTTTTGTTTCAGATAATTATTATTAAACTTCTGAATTTTGCATTTATTTTTAGATAAACATGAATGAATTGTATTATTTTTTAATTAATAAAATACTCAAGAATTAATAAATTTAATATATTCATAATCAAATTCATTGTTTTATATAATTTTATCTTCCATTAAAATTCTTGGCAATTAAAAGGATGTATTTGTTTTTTAATTCATACATTATATAGTTAATTACCTTTTTCCACCACTTAATTAATACAATAATCTTTAAGATGCTGCCAAACCTAATTTACACTCTTACAATCTTGATTGATTTAATTAATTTTAAGTAAGTCCACAACCATAATCTGTTATAGTAAAATGAATATCTTCATAATAATTCCATACACTAATTTCAATTTCATTTGGCTATTACAAATATTATTCATATTAATATGCTTAAATAGAGTTATTAATTAAATTAATCAATAATTATTTAAATTTTCTAAAATAAATAAATTTATATTTAACCTTGCATCTGTAATTATATTTTTATCATATAGATTATTGTCAATCAACATCAACTTAACTCCATATTTGATAAGTATATGATTATGTTAAAATTGATCAAATAATAAATGAACTGTTTATGATATATCTATCTTTTTTCTATCGAACAAAATCTTTTCTGTTTATTAAAATACTTCAACAAAATTAAAATTATCTTATTCAACTTAAAAGAAATCAAATTACAATTTTGATAAGAATTACTATAAATGATTTGACTTACGTATCTAAACTTTCTCAGATATATCTGATTATCCTTCCTCAACACTATTTATATTAGAACTTAATGAATAAGTTCTTTTTCGAACTGAAGTACCCAATCGACTCAATTAATCTGTTTCAATTAAACTAGATGGACTCTTTATTTCACGAATCCATTTATGAATATCAGTTATTTTACAAGCTTAATTCTATATAAACTTTGTAGCAATATCTAATAATTCAATATTTTTAACATTCTATTTTATTGATTATACTAATTTATCAATATCTCTCATCAAAAATACTATGGCCAAACCATCAGATTCCTAATTAATTTAAATATATTTTATACTTCTTCAAAAATATAAAATTTGATTTATAAATCACATAAAATTTTATTTGTTTTTATTCTTCCAAATAGATTCATTTTATTATTTCTAAGATTTATTGCTTCTGATGAACTTTATTAATATGGAATAGATGATAATCCCATAATAGATTTCTCCATAATAAGATCCATCAATAAAGATTTTTGATTGGAAAGATTACTTAGTTATAAAGGATCTACTCCTTCTAATTATTTAAAAGATTTCTTTGATTGAAGTTATTCAATCATTTTATACTATTCTAAATGATATTATAACCAATCATAAAGACTTTGTTATTTCTTAAATTCTGGACTTTGTATATCAAATTAAGTCCAATGAATATCATTAAAAACCTTCATTTCTGATAAAAAATCTACAAATGTGATATTATTATCTTAAAGGAATTTACTAAATGAATAATTGCTAACAGAGTTTTATAAAAGAGAATTATTTTAATAAGCATTAAATGAAAATTTAATTATGTAATCATCGCATTAGAATACAAAATTACCCCAAAGAGATGATTTTGTTGAGTTTGAAGCATTCTGTTATTTTTATTTAGATTCAGGTAACTCTTCATCTTCAGCAATGGATTCAAGAGGACAACCTCTTGAATGTTTTATAAATATTTATTCTTCATTTGAAGGTTTTGTTTAAGATTTTAAAATTTATTGAAATGATAGTTCATTAAAGAGTCTGTTTTATTTATTTTCTTTAACTTAAATTTCAAATTCACTCTATACTTATCTATAAAAAATTTCATTTAATCCAATCATGATACATAAAATTATTAATACAAATATAATCCCAAGTTTAATTTAATTAGTAAGAGATAAGCAAGTAACAAAAATTATAATTTGAACACATATTTTGCCTTTAAATATTATGGGATTTTCATTCTATATACTAAATGTGTTATTATATTGACCATTCATAAAGCCTAGAGTATAAAAAAGAAAGGAATGTGACTCTTATTTTAAATTATTTGCACTATTAATTCTTGCTAATGTTAGTAACCAAAAGAAGATGGGAGAGATATCTTAATATATGAATATAACATACCTATTTTCCATGAAATTTTCTAAATTGAATAGAGTACTCTAAAAGCAATTGAAATAACAATAATGATTATGGAAAGAATTTGAATAACATTTAGATCATTCTGAAGTTCAATTTCCAATCCCAAAAAAAAGAGACAGATCAAATAGTTTAAGGAATATTTCACTTCTTATTTCAATAGGTTGTTTTTGCACATTATTTATTATAATGATTAAATGAAAATCTCATAATTATTTTATAATTACTCATAAGTGTATATTTATATTAAATTGGAATCATCTAAAAATTATATAAATAAAAGGTTAATTTAATATTTTTATAAATACACATCATAATCTAATTCTAATCTTAAATTCTTTAAAAAATAAATATTTAATAATGTTACTACTTCCGTTGTGTATAGATCAGTATCTTGATAATAAACAATATCATTAATTTATTATAAACAAATAATTCTACTTAAGATTAGTATAATTAGATTAAATAGCTGATAAATAATTGATTTTTTCTTTTTAAAATGTTTAATAATAATTCTAAATTACTAATTTGTATATAAATTTGAGAAATCATATATTTCTATATTTATAATAAGTGATTTATATTAAATTATTATTACAATAATTAAATAGTCATCCTATAATTGTATCAAAAGTTTAATAAAATTGTTATTTGATTTTTATTAATTTTTAATTTTTAGATTGTTTTGATTTTCTTATTAATTATTATAAATAAAGGTTAAATATTTTCTATTAATGACTCTTTATGAAACATGTATAATTAAATAATAATAATTTTAGAATTAGTATACACTTATTAAAAACTTTAAGTTTAATTTATATTTGCAACTTAACACTATTAAAAAGTTTTATATTAACATGTTTATTTTTTAAATTGTAATATAGTTACATCTATAAAATCTAACTAAAAAATGGTATATTTTTACATATATTATTTAATCAATCAAAAATTAATAAAAATAGACTTATAACTTAAAGTAATGATTAATATTATTTTATATTAGTTTTTATTGAAGAAGCTTAAAAATCTGAATATAATTATAATGGAATTAATATATTTAGTTATTAGTATGTTCTTGAGATTTTAATTACTTATTTATTTGTCTTTATATAATTAAGATTTTTTATTAAATATGAGTGATTCAATAACTGAGTCAAATTCATTTGAAAGAAATGCTAATGCTGTAATTTTAGATCATAAATATTTTCTTGTTCGTTTAATTTATAAGGGAAGGAGTCATAATTTATATTTAGGTAATTATGTAAATCTAATAGGAAGTGTAGCTTTAAATAAGGATGATCCGAATACCTACTATTTAGTAGAAATGAAAAGGTATTAAGAATTACTATATACTATAGTTAAGAGTAATATAATTCCTTTGTTTGTGATGAAAGGATTGTAAAAAAAATGCATGATTGTACTAATTATATATACATTGATTTTAGTATAACTAATACCTAAGACAATACAATCAGGAATATATAAATATAAGAATATGGAATATCGATATAATATAAAGGAAAGATGTGGACCATCTCTTAAACTTTGTTTTCAACATTAAAATCGAAAGTTTTCTGATTAAGTATTTGCTACAATAGCAATTGAAGCTGTAAATACTGAGAATATATATTTAGATATCTGTATTGGAGAAAATGCATTAAGCATCTATAGTTCATTGTTATTTAAAGCCTAAGAAATTTGTGACACTATATAGAGGAGTTCAATTACTTTTAACTGACCTAAAATTTGCCTAAAAATACAAATTAAGGTAGATATTAAACTAGAATACTAAAAACAAATTTCAATATGCTCTTGCATTAAATAAATATTCAAGTTTAAATTTGCATTTAGGGATAAGTAAAGCAATAAGTTAAATAAAGAACCTTGTCCTAGAGATGATCTAGAATCATTGGCTTATATTCTGATAAACTTTTATATTGGTGGTAGACTATTTAAGACAAAGTAGAAGAAAACAAAAAGTGATAAAATAAAAGAAGTTGAATTATAAAAAATGAATCTAATAATAGAGAAAGCATTTCCATCGTTACCAAAAGAAATAATTTAATTTTATTATAATGTTAAATTATCTAATCTTGATTAATACAAAGTAATTAATTATGATGAACTTAAATCATACTTTTATAAAATGATGTAGAAAAACAATAATACAACAAATTTAAAATCTTATCCATGGGTAATACTATTATATATATGAAGAATCAAGAATTAATAGATCCTTAAAAATAGAGTTCTTTAAGTAGTTTATCTTCAGTAGTAGAAGATGATGAAAATGAATCCGATGATTCATTAATAGAAGAATAATCAATTCTAAGTGTTATAGAGTAATTGAAATAAATTACTAAAACTAAAAAACTACTTTCAGAATTGGATAATTGATTTATAAAATGATATAATTTATATGCCTAATTATATCTTTAGTATCTGCAAGAAATCCATTTATTACAGCATTTGTAAACTCAATCAAAACAACTTGGACAGTATATAATTCTTCTATTTATTTAGGCTGTTAATTATGAAAGATGGAATGATAAATCAGAAGAATTTTACTCTAAATTTTTCAATGTTATAGTAGATCATAGTGATCCAATTCAATATAAATATTATGAAAATTTAGAAGCTTTACCATCAAGCTTTTCAGCCTATGAAAAATGGCCTGGTTGTACATCCATTAAACTAATTCATGATCAAGGGAACTGTGGTTCTTGTTGGGCAGTATCAGCTGTTTCTACAATGACTGATCGTCTTTGCATTGCCTCTGGTTAAACAGATAAGAGACAAATTTCTGCTGAAGATCTTTTAAGTTGTTGTGGTATTAATTGTGGAGATGGTTGTGATGGGGGTTATCCAATGGGAGCTTGGAAGTATTTTAAAATAGAAGGTATAGTAACAGGAGGTATATATAATGATTTTACTTTTTGTAAATCATATTCGTTTCCTCCTTGTAGTCATGGAAATAATTCAGGAAAATACTCTAAATGTGATGAAGACATTTTCATGTTATCTAATACACCTTTGTGCACAAGAAAATGTCATTCTTAATCTTATAGAACTTATGAAGTTGATAAAATCAAATCAAGAGATAATCCATATTAACTTATAAGAGATTAAGAACAAATCAAAAATGAAATCTATTTGAATGGACCTGTATAAGCAGTCTTTTCAGTTTATGATGATTTCTTAAGTTATAAATCTGGTGTATATTAATATACAACTGGATCATTAAGAGGAAGACATGCAGTTAAAATAATTGGTTGGGGAACAGAAAATGGAATACCTTATTGGGAAGTAGTAAATTCATGGAATGATGGTTGGGGTATCAATGGAAAGTTTAAAATTTTAAGAGGATCTAATCATTTAGGTATTGAAGAAAATGTGATTGCATCAATTATTTGAATAAATGATGCAATTATCAATTTTATAAAATATTTATATGCATATTAAAATTTTAATTCAAAAATACTTGTTCTCTTTATTATCTTTTAAGTAATTTTATCATAATATATGTACAATAAATATGTATGTTTAATTTATTTACAGACAGAAATCTAAATAATTTAATATTGTATTTTTAAATATTTCTTTCATCTTTATTATTAATATTTTTGAATAATTGTATTAAATTATCTAATAATTATCAATAGATACATAATTAATTATATATTTAACTTTATTGGTTTATTTTATAGTAAAAATTATTCTTTTTATATAATTAATATAATATAATTATTTTTGTTAATATTGAAATGTCTTCTAACATCTATTTGACATAGACTTAAATTCATGAGTTATTTAAAATTTGTGAATTTAAAACAACTGATGTTAAAAAACTCGAAATCCCCTCTTTTAGGGAGGTTGAATAAAGTACACATTTACCTGAATTCCAGTAGGAAGTATAAATATTGGATTATTATTTAGATATGCCCTTTCTCTTCAGATTCCAAGAAGGAAGATAATTATACAACTAACCCTACAAATAATACAAATAGACATCCAAGTTAAGATTCAATCTTTGAAATTAAGGATGACACTGTTAGAAGTATATCAAATAGTTTATTTAGTTCAGTATCAAAGTTAGAATATGAGAATTTAAAAAGAGATGCTCTTTGTTATTAAACTCTGGTTAAACAAAATAAAGAATTGAAAACTAACAAATAGATAATCATCTAACTAAATTAATAAAAATGTAATATAATAATTTCTATTTTTTAGCTTAGCTTTCAATTGTGTAAGAGAATAATAAAAAAATGTAGAGACATATTTATGAACTCTTATAGAATATAAAATCTATTGAAAATGAAAATTAAAAATATTAAGATGATATATTATAACTTAGATTATAAATATAAGATTAATTAAAAATCATATAATAAGGTAAAATAGACTAAGAAAGGATTAAAATATCAATTATTTAAAAAGATGAAGCTTATATTAAATTAAAAGATAATTATGATAAATTAGTAAAAGATTTAGAAAGAAGTAAAAATAGCAAAAGTGTTCAAAGAGGTACTTACTTATCAAATAATCCTTCGAACCCTTCGCTAAAAGGATTGACAAAGATTAATCATAAAAATTACTGCAATTAAAGCTTAATTATTGAAAAATAGAGTTGAAAATGATGATTTTTCTATAGATACATTATTTCACTAAATTTTTATATAAATTTATATCTATAAACTTAATGATGTAATATAAATCTTAAAAAATTGTTTTATAATAATTTTAGTTGATACAAATTATTAGAAAATGATTATATAAAAGTTAATTAGAAAATAATTTTGATTTTTATTAATTATTAAATGAAATAAATTCTCATTTTAGCATTACTCCTAATCTTAGTTCTTGGTGATTAACATTATAATAAACGAGAACATTATAAACACAAGAAAGGACATGGTAAATAAATTAGTATAAACTAGTATTTAAGTGGATTTTGATTTCTATATTTGCAGTTGTGGCTTTTATAGTAATTAGAAAAATAGTAAGAAGAAGAAGACATATGAAGAGAATGAAAAAGCAGGGAAAGAATTAATTATCAGAATCTGTAGCTTTTGGAGAACCAATTAATGGTAATGTCTAACAACCTTAATTTTATGCTGTTCCTATTGAATAATATGAACAATTTAAAAATTGGATGAAATAGTAAAAATAACAATAAGAAGCATTATTATAATAATAATAATAGATACAACAATAATTATTATTATAATAATAATAGTCTACTCAAAACATTTAAAATCCTTAATAACCTGTTGCTGGATATCCAATATATTAATAATATCCTCAATAAGTACCATAAATAGTTTACCCTTAATTATTGAATAAGAGTCATGTTGAAACTTAATTAACTGATGTTAGGGGTCCATAATGAACTATCCATTATAAAATATATCATATTATCATTATTTTTATAAATATATATAATTGTAAAATATTTTACTTGAGAGACTTATTACTTTATTGAAATAACTCTAATAGATAATTATTTATTGATAATATATTTATAAATAAAATTGACCATAATATACTATTAAGTATATATATATTCATTAAGTTAAAATAGGTAATAAATGATTTTGGATATCAATTGAACTCTAATGATTTATTATAGTATATGATGGTTAAGTTTAAAAAAGTGATAAAAAAACAACACAATTAGAAAATAATCTTAAGATTAGGATGATACTGAAATTTTAGTATATAAAGAAATAAGTGGATATAAATGATATTAAATAAAATTAAATTAAATGGGGCCATATCTAAGCTAACCAAAAAGAGATAAAACAACAACAACAGGTTAAGGAAAGTCTGTTATATTTGCTGCCTCAGAAATGCAAGGTATGAAGTATATGGAACAATAGGCTGGAGAAACACGATGGAAGATGCTCATATTCATAAACCTGATATTGTATAAGATGTCTCTGTTTTTGGTGTATTTGATGGACATGGAGGTAGAGAAGTTGCCTATTTTGTTGAAAAACACTTCGTGGAGGAATTAACGAAAAATAAAAATTTTAAGGATCAAAAATTTGAAGAGGCTCTCAAAGAAACCTTTTTAAGGATGGATGAATTGTTAATGACTCCAGAAGGATAGAAAGAGTTAAATTAATACAAAGCAACTGATACTGATGGTATATTGTTATTTTATTTTAGAATCTTATGCCGGATGTACAGCCAATGTAGCCTTGATTCATAAGAATACTCTTTATGTTGCCAATGCTGGAGATTCAAGATCAGTTTTATGCAGAAATAATTCTAATTATGATATGAGTGTTGATCATAAACCAGATAATCCTGAAGAAAAAACCAGAATTGAAAGAGCAGGTGGTTTTGTAAGTGATGGTCGTGTTAATGGTATTTATTTATTATAAATTAAATATAGGTAACCTAAATTTATCTAGAGCCTTGGGAGATTTAGAATATAAACGTGATAGCAAGTTAAGAGCTAATGAATAATTAATTATTGCTCTTCCAGATGTTAAGAAAGTTGAATTAGGACCATAAGACAAGTATATAATAATAATAAAATTTAGATTTATTTTAATGGGTTGCGATGGTGTTTTCGAAACTTTGAATCATTAAGAATTATTGAAGTAAGTCAACTCAACTTTGGGACAATCTTAAGTGACTGAAGAATTATTGAAAAAGGCTGCTGAAGATCTATTAGATCAATTATTAGCCCCAGATACAAGTTAAGGAACAGGTTGTGACAATATGACAAATATCCTAGTCTATTTGAAAAAATGAAAAAAAACAAAATATACAAACAAAGTTTATGTAATATAATCAAATATTGTTAATTGTTGTTTCAATCAACAAATTCCCTTCAATACTATTATACTACTTTTTTCAATTAATTATTATATTAAGATATTCTCCATTTTTTTTTTTTACATTTTGCTAATAATTATTAAAGTTTAATTTCTGTATTTATCTTTGATAACACTTAGCTAAACTAAATTTATTATTTCTTATTATACAACTTTATGTCTTTTCATAAGATATATTGTTCATTATTAATTAAAATTATTATCAAATCTCTATAGGTTTCATTTTTTATATGTTGCAATAACTTGAAAAGTATAATAATAATTAGACATAATTTAAATCTCTAAATAAATTATGTTGTGTTTTCACTCTTTACAAATTGTTCTAAATTATTTAGAGAAAGTTTATATCTTATTTCATTTTAGAGAAACTTAATTTTTATACATTTAAATTTTAATGTATAAAATACATCAACTATTTTAATTGAAGCATACAATAAATAATAATATTTTCAATATTATATCTCTGAATTCACTCATATCTCAGGAAACTATATTGAAGCCAATTAATTATTTTTATTATTCTAAAACGCTTTCATCATTTTATGTCAAATAGGATAATCTTTTATTTTTATGCTTTTTTAAATTGATTACCTTTATTAATAGTATTAAACTTCAACATCATATATTTAATTAATGTAATCGCTACCTTAAAACACTTTCATGATATGATTATAATTTTCACAGTCCTTTAATCTTCAGACTCTATTGATTTTCAAAACTTCTCTAAATAGGAATGACTTGATAATATATTAGTTTTTTTTTAGGGGTGATACTTTTTAAAACTGATAGAATTGATAATTATTAATAGAATATACTTCAAAAATTCAATAAATTCTGTTTAAGGTCTTAGAAGACATAGATATAAAAAAAGAAGATTTTTCATTTATTATATTGTTAGAGATTATTAATATAAATTAATGTAATTACTTTCATCATAGATTTTTTTATACATATTATAGCATTTAATATTTATTATTTTACATCTCAAATAATGTAGCAAAATTAAAACAAACATGAAGATGGTTAGCCTAATAATATAGTAGATAATCTAGAATTCTAATCTGCTCTTGACAGTATTTATTATTTTAAGTATTTTCAAGTTTATAATCTAAATGATGATTAATTTCAAGAGTAAATACAAAAATAAAACAATAAAGTTTTAGAGAGAAACAATGAATAAGAACATCCTTTAAATTTAAATACTTATTAAATACATAAAAATTGTGAGTAACTACCATAACCTGATTTAGAGGGTGAATTTTATAAAGTTAGTCCTCATTTTTTGGAAACTAATTCTGTAAAGTTTATCATCTATTTTACAGACATATTATTGTACTTTATAATCAAAAAGATTTACTTATTACAACATTAAAAATAAAAATAAACCTTTAGGAATTTTCGACTTTAATTATTAAAAATATATTTTCTCTTTTTTAAAATCAAAGGATTACACTTACATTCAGAGTTTTATATATACAATTTAATATAAAAGATTATAGCCAGAAAGCTGTGAGAAGAAATTCGAATTTGTAGTTCCTACTAGAACTAGAAAATAATTAAAATAATGGATTTAATTAATATAATTATCCATCTAGTAATCAGATGGATAATTAAATAATATTATGAGTATGTCAAAAATATCATAGATTTTGGAGACATGAAAGAATTTTAGATCCACAAATTTTAAATTAAACTTAGACAGGTGATTTGTTGATATTTCGTACAAAAGGAATTCTATAAAATTTATAAAGATCTATCACAAGAAGTGATTACGATCACATTGTAATGTTTCTTAAGAATCCATGGTAAGATCCAATGCTCTTTGAATCTAGTAATTAATATGGTGTCATCTCCTTTAGTTTTAGTATTCTTTTTAGTGATATATTTTAGAACGCTTTGTCAGATCCATATCATACAAAAATTATGAAAAGTAATAGTTCTTTCAAATTCAAGGATTCTATACAAGCCCTTATTAAATATGTCTGAAAATAATCGTATCATTATGCATGCTTATGCTGAGGCACAAATAGGAAAAGGTTAATCTTTGAGTATGATGAAATTCTTTAAGAGAAGTACAAGATAAAAGTTTTTTTTTGTTCTTAATTGATTGCTTATATATATCAATTGATGGGATTAATATCAGAAACAGAAAAGTGTTGTTCCTTTTTACCAGGTTTCAATTATATTATTAGATATAGGGAATTTTACTGATGAAGATAAAAGATTAGATTTACTTAAATCTGCTTAGCTAGGACTTGATTATATTGTAGATTTTGATTATCTATAATAATGATTAAGTTAAATATGTGATATGAATCAATTTATAGTTGAAAATATAAAATCTGCTAAAACCTTTTAAATTTCGAATAGAAAAGCATCAAATTTCTTCTCTGCCTTAACTGCTTTTTAGAGTTGTCTCTCTAAATTCTAGAATCCTTTGAGATTCTGTATTTTAATTACCTATGTTCTAGAATTCATTTGGATTTCACCTTCTTTAAAAATTAAATCTATCATTTCAGAAAATGCATCATAGATTTGAGATTTATATCTATGTTGCATTCTGACTTTTAACCAATCTGTATTATTTATTTTAGTTTAATCAAGTTTGTACTTCTAATTTGAATTTTAGAATATCTGTGTATAACATTAACAATTACCCAATATTTTTGATTAAAATATCTTTCAACTAACATGCAATCAATTTCACACATTTTTTTGCATCCATAAGTAGTTTAATTCAATTTGAATTCATTTTAAACAATACTTTACTTTTATATCATACTTGCTAAGCTATTTTACATGCCATGTTTAATAAATTGATTTGCTGTTTCAATAAACTCATTTTTTGGTTCACCTTTATAATTTGAATATTCAATACCTAATATTGGAAAAATAGGAGTTGATTAAAAGAATGTATATTATTGAATAGGAAATTACATATCACCTTATTTATGTTCAAAAGAATTTGATTCACTTTTATGTTAACATTCATTTAATGGATTTCTGTATCGTTAAAATGAGCTTTCAGCTTCTAATATGAATAAAATGATTAATATTTACATCTTAATGTAGGAATTTTAGCATTCAAACTAGTATTATTAAAATCCATTATATTAATTATGTATTTCTAAATATAAAGAAATTATAAATAAATTATATTACTATATTTCTAATTTTACTTAAGTTAAAGGCAAGAAAATTAATATTTATTTAAATATGTTTGTAAATGTATTTTTAACTCAATTTTTCTTATTAATTAATTAGATATTCAAGTTTTTTAATAATTATTATTGATCATCCAATAAAATTTTAATATTATACTATAATAAAGAATCAATAGATAACATACAAACACTCAATTTTATATTAATTCTTGTTAATTCATTAAAGCTTGTAAGAGCTCTCTTTAAGAATACCTCAAATCTTCCTAATTTAAATAATTCATATGTTTATACCATTTATTATGCAAACTGAAATTACCCAGTAACTTAAACAAATTTCGACATCAAATATATTAGCAAAACTCAAAAAAATGCATTTTAAGTATAGAGAAGGTCTTCAAATTCAATTAATAATTTGTTTTCACTTAGAATTTATAACACATATGATTTATTGTACATTGATGACATAATATTCAAAAATATATAAACACTAAAACTATCTATCATGAAGAGAATAAAGACTATCGCCTTAAAAGCTCCATTCAATTTCTTTTCAAATAAATACTTCTTAAGTGAAATTCTCTACATTCCCTACTATAATGATCTCAATTTCCAACTAAAGAATTTAGAACCAAAAAGGCTTATTTAATATGTTATTTTAGAGTAATATTTATATACGAATCAATCTTTTTGATGTACTTCTCACTATCTTTTATATTCTAATTAAGTGGATGGTCCCAAATTTTAGGTTAAAGAATATGGGGCATTCTATTTGTTGTCTTGAAGAAATATTTAACAAAATGATTGTTATTGCTGAAGATGTTCTTTTCCTTCTTTACCTTCCCTCTCTTTATTATATTTCAAAAGCTTTTCGAAATCAATCTCAATATGTTTTTAAGCAACACTTCTTTATAGCGTTCCTGGGTTTTTTCTACTTGCACAAGTTCCCATTATTATTAATTGTTTTAGATTATTAGATTATTAATAAATATTGTTTTTAAGTTGAGAAGGCTATAAATGCAAAAAATTAAATCATAAGGATTAATTTATCTTATTTATTGATTATGCAATCTACTATCTTATTATATTTTTATGAATAAGATATTTTCTGAAAATTTAAATTATTATAAATTTATAAATCATCAACTCCTGAAATTAAATACAGAATTATTTAATTTTGTTTTGCCATTATATTTCAGAATTCTTAATGCTAAAATTAAATAATTTTTAATGACTTTAAAGCTTTTTATTCTTGAAATCATTGCCTTTTTAATTTAAATTGCTCTAACAAAGAAACAAAATGATTTTTTATTAACCTTGACAAAACATAACTTATAACATTTTTGTAGTATTTCGATCCACTATTCAAAAATAAATTTCAGTTTCTTAGTCTTTATTGATAAATAGCAAAAATCGTGGTATCTGATACCTTATTGTCAAATTTTCAAATTTAACTATCCTCAATTTAAACTTCATTTTTAATATTAATTAAAATTGAAAATCGAATTAGATTATTAAAAGTATCCTTATATTTCTGAGCCATTTAGACCTTCTTAAACTTAATTAAATTAGGATTTCAGAACTTATGACAACATATTATACATAATTTAGACTTCAAGTTTTCAGATTCATTATAATTATTATTAGGTTTTATGAAAATAATTAAAATAAATCCGATATTTAATATTTTGTCATTTATGAATGATATTAATATTTAATTGATCTTACGCTGAATTATAGATTATATATATTTTTTTTAATTATTCTTAACATTTTTGATCATGACTTTTTCTAAAACATAATTTAAGTTACTTATCATAAATAAAGTATGATTGAATTAAATTAAAAATAGGTTCTAATTTTTTTTATTTAATAATTAATTTTAATTAAGAAAAGCTAATATTTATTTAAAATACTTCAAAAAGGCTTTCTTTCTTCCTCATATATATTGTAGAATTGAGGTTTAATATGAGAGGATTGATCAAATAATTTAATATTAATTCGGTAACATTATTTACTTAAAATGAGGTTAACATAAGATCATTAGAATACTTAATAAAGATTAAATGGTTTATTAACTTTATTTTATTAAGCATCTATTGAAACTAAAACCTAATCTTTAACATCATCCATTTCTAATAAAATAGAATAATGATAAAAATTAAAAAAATATTATATTTATATGTTTAAATTTCCTACTAAATGTACATGCACTTAATAAATCATTTCTTCTTTAATTCCTTCTTTTCAACAACTTTGATGACACCGACGGCAACGGTTTATTTCATATCTCTGACGGCAAATCTACCAAGTGGGGGATATTCAGAGAAGATTTCAACGCACATTGGTTTGGTTGGGACTAACTTGACCATAGCAGCATCTCCTGATTTAACGAATTTTGGTTCTTCTTCAATGACTTTACCTGTTCTTCTGTCATTCTTTGAAAGAATTTCTTAGAATTTGCAAGCAATGTGGGCTGTGTGGCAATCCAATACTGGGCAATATCCGTTTTGGATTTATCCTGGATGGTTGATGATGATGACTTAAGCATTGAATGAGTTGCATTCTCTTGCTGGGTCACTCTTTGAGTCTGAGCAGACGAATCCTCTCTTCAAATCTTTGACGGCAATGTTCTTGACGTTGAATCCGACGTTATCTCCTGGAACGGCTTCTGGGAGAGCTTCATGATGCATTTCAACTGATTTAACTTCAGTTGTGATGGCTGATGGAGCAAATTAGACGACCATACCTGGTTTCAAGACACCAGTTTCAACTCTTCCGACTGGGACTGTACCAATACCTCCGATCTTGTATACGTCTTGTAATGGTAATCTGAGTGGTTTTTCAGTTGGTCTCTTTGGTGGGGTAACTGCATCCAAAGCTTCAAGGAGAGTTGGTCCCTTGTACCATCCGAAGTTTGGTGATTTTTCCAACATGTTATCACCGACCCATCCTGAAATTGGGACGAAGGGAACATTTTCTGGGTTATATCCGACCTTCTTTAAATAATCTTTCATTTCCTTGACGATTTCGTCATATCTAGCTTAAGCATAGTTGACTGTCTTTTCGTCCATCTTGTTTGTTGCGCAAATCATTTATTTGACACCCAAAGTGTAAGCCAAAAGAACGTGTTCTCTGGTTTATCCTTCCTTTGAAATACCAGCTTCGAATTCTCCTGCAGGTGATGCAATCATCAACAAAGCAACATCGGCTTATGATGTTCCTGTAATCATATTCTTGATGAAATCTCTGTGTCCTGGGGCATCAATGACGGTGTAGTAATACTTATTGGTTTCAAATTTCCAGAGGGAAATATCAATGGTGATACCTCTTTCTCTTTCAGCCTTGAGGTTATCCAACACCCAAGCATATTTGAAGGATCCCTTACCTAATTTGTTGGCTTCATCTTCGAACTTCTTGATGGTTCTTTCGTCAATACCTCCGAGTTTGTAGATCAAGTGACCGGTGGTGGTTGATTTTCCTGAATCGACGTGTCCAATAACGACAAGATTTACGTGAAGTTTATCTTTTGGCATTTTTAAGAAATTATTCTTTGCTTTTTATTTTGTGGCAAAATTTTCTTATAAAGTCGTATTCAAAATTTAATGACTATTCTTAAATAAAAAAAAATTAAATTTAAATCTTTTAAATTATGTTTTTTAAATAATTCAATTAATAACCTCACTAATACATTGGCTTTATGAGCTTTTATAATGTAAATATATTATTTTCTTGCATCTGAAAATTAGAGACTTGGACCATCTTATGTAGATTAAATTTTTAAGATATAATTTTTTTATTTAATCTAAATTGACTATCATCTTTTTTTAAGCAAAATGTATAGTTTAAAAAGTTCTTAAATCCTCCAATAAATATAAATTGAAGGTAAATTAAAGAAGCAAATAAAAACTATTATGAAATTTAATTAAGTTTTTTTTAATTAAAAAAGACTATTTAAGACTATTCTTCATTTTATAAAAAATAAAATTTTATTTAAATAATTAATCAATTCTGACCATTATTTATATTACAAAAATCATTAGTTATATGAATTTCAAAAATATTTGTTAGACATATCCAAATTCTAATACCTAAACAAACATTTCTAATATTCAAATTAGTTTCATCAATAAATTTTGATATAAATATATATTTTATAAACCCAGTAAAATAATTATAAAAAAAAATAAAAATTATATTGTCATTTTGTGAATGTTAATCATATATCATTACAAAAAATACTTGTTCTGAATTGAATTTATGTTTAGAATAGTTAAATTAATTGAATAAATAACAATAATGAAAAATAAAGTTAAAATATATGATAATCTAAATATATATTTCTCTATTTAATCACCATTCTAAGAAGGGATCGTCTGCTGGTTTTAGAGCTGGACTTTGTGTATCGGATTCTGGATATGATGAAAAATTAGAAGTGTCATTTGGTGCTCTATAAAAATATTTGTATTGAAATAATACTTGACTACTGGTTTGTAAGGAACAGGCAACTTCTTTTGAGTAAGTAAATTCCAATCTAAGTTTCCAAACCATCTATGATTTTTTACATCAGCAGCTCCTGTTATAGATAAAATGTATAATAATACCATTTTTTAAATTTCCATATCGTTTCGAAAGATCGGCAACAAGTAAATGCTTTACCAAAGATTTAGCGTTTCTTGGATAGTAAAAGAAATTCGTACTTGTCAAAGCTTTTGGGGAATTTGACTTTGCCCTTTAATATTTTTTGATAAATAGCCATAGGATCTTCATCAGAGAAAGGGTCGATTCCTGCATTCATCTCATAAATTAAAATTCCCAAAGTCCACCAATCAACAGCTTTACCATGTCCTTTATTCAATAAAATCTCTGGAGCCAAATATTCAGGAGTACCACATAAAGTATATGTTCTTCCTTCAACCACTTTTGCAAAACCGAAATCTGTTAATTTGAGATATCCATCATCTGCAATCAATAAGTTTTCTGGCTTAAGATCTCTATAAATGATGTTTTTGGTATGAAGATATTCAAACATAGAAGCCACTTAAGCACCATAAAACCTATAATAAACTCGAATGATTGCAATACGCAGCATGTTATGTGTCAAGTCTTCCAATACTTCTTAAATAGGTAAACAATTCTCCACCAGAAACAAATTCTAAGACTAAATAGATATATCTTGGGTCCTAGCAGAAACCTTCAAAGGTTACCTAATGTGATGAGAATAATTAATACAATAAATGGATGTTGCAAATTTCCCAATATTGTGTTTTCATTAATCACATGATCAACTTGCTTAAGTCTAATGATCTCAGCTTTCTTTAAACTTTTCAAAGCAACATATTTATTTGTTTGTTTATTCCTTGCCAGTTTCACTCTACCAAAAGAGCCTAAAGTTCAGCATTACACCAATACAATACCAGTACCCAAGGTCTAAAACACTTCATAATCTGTGAGTTTCAGTTTTTTTGGTTTAGCAAGTCCTGTACTCATCAATTTAAAGATTTAAAATAAATTATTTTAAGCAAATTATCTAATTCTGAAATACTCAGCATTTACAACTATTATTTAATAAAACACTCTTTTGAATATGATTATTATTAATGAAAATACATTAAATAACTAATCGATATTGAATTCTAATTACTATATTATTTAATCATTAATCAGAATTAAATTACTTTAAACATGAATGAAAAATCAAAAACATATTAAAATGCTTTCCAAATCTTCAAGGAGAGATATTCCAAAAAATTAAAGAAAGATAAAACATTATCTCAAAGTGATATTGATGATTTAGTCTTACAGAAATGGAAATTCTTACCAGATGATTAAAGAGAACCATACAAAAAACGATTTGAAAAAACTAAAGTTAAATTAACTTAACAAGAAGAATATCCAAATGATTCAGACTAAGAAAAGCAACCCTAAAAAAAAGTTAAAGAATGAATTCCATTTTACATTTCTTTAAATAAAAAAATTGTTATATATATAATATTTGTTACAAACTGAATAACTCATAATTTAGCTAATCCATAGCCTTAAGCATTATTCAGATCATTGAATAAATGATTACCAAAAGCAAATCTGGCAATCTATCGTAAATGAACTTCACAAGGGCCATCCATAAATCTGATTGCTCTTGCAAATCGGAATGACACAGCCAAAGGTTAATCATCAGTGACTCCTTCAGCACCAAAAGCCTAAATACATTAGTCAATCATCTTTTGACATGCTTTAGGAATATGAGCTTTACATTAACTTACAGCCATAAATGTACTTAGATGTCTGGATCCTGCTGAATCCAATAACAAACCAGCATTACGACTTAATAATCTACAATTTTCTATAGCAATTTCAGTTAAACCTAATTTCTCTTAAAATGCATCATTTTCTTTCAATTTTTAATTAAACATTACTCTCTATGATGCTCTACTAATCATTAAATCTAAACATCTTCTTGTTAATCCAATCTATTTAACACAATGATGTAATCTTCCACCTAATAATCTACCCTATGCCATTTTAAATGCTCCACCCAATTATCCTAACAAATTCTCTTTAGGTACAAAAACATTATCAAAATTAACTTCAGCATAGCTATGTGGAAGATCATAGAAACTAAATAATCCTAGTTATCTTATAATCTATATCTTAGGATTTGGCATATCTACAATAATCATTGATTATGATTCCATAGGATTTGACATATCCTAAGATGATTTACCCATTACTATTCCAAATTTTGACCTCTCATCTGGAGCACTTGAAACAAACCATTTACCTCCATTTATTATATAACCTCCATTTGTAGGAGTAATAGTAAATTAGAAATTATTTGGATCTGATGATGAAACATTTTTCTCTGTCATTGCAAAGAAAGACTTACATTCTCCTTCCAATAAGGGTTTCAAATATTTCTCCTTTTAATATGGTGTACCATAACCAATCAAAAGTTTCATGTTACCAGTTTCAGGAGCGAAACAATTAAAAATTTCATGAGCCAAATAACTAAGTCCCATCAATTCTGACAAAAATACATATTCTAAATTTGTTAGACCTTTTCCATATATTGGATCAGAAATGAATAAATTCCATAATCCAAGTGATTTGGCCTTTCTTTACAAAATTTCTATTTCTGGTATACCTTTATTTAAAGTAGTAGTTGGCATTGCTCTTGATTTATCTAAAATTTCCTTTTCAATAGGAAACACCTCTTCCTTCAAAAAATCCTTTATTCTATAATAATAGCTTTTGCATCTATCTGTAACTGGCCAATTAGACCATAATGCACAATCCTTTTCTGCTCTGAACTTGATACCAAATGGATCTCCTTCTGTTAATTCTAATATTATTTAGTATCCAGCTTCTGATAAAAATTCTGAATTAGCTAAATACTGAGTATTTTTTGTTTGTTTAAATAAAATTTATTAATCAATTGATTTTTTTAATATTGCCTGTATTATTTAATATCTAATGTCAGGGATTGTTTTAGTTGATCTAGCAGCAAAATATGATTTAATGATATCTTATAAATTGGGAACATCTACTAACATTTCAACTCCTTACCATCCATCTATTTAATGTATTCCATTAGAATAAGGAATATAATATGGAGATATAAGATTGGCAAGATCAATAAATGCATTTCCTAATTATGCTTCTTACCAATCCAAGATAGCTAGAATCCTTGGTTCTGTTGGATGAAATAGTACCTTTGATAAAGAGAAATCTCCATGAATTAAACATAATGTATCTAATTCAGAATTCTCAGGTTAATTCAATGGCAACCAATATAATAAATCCTCAATATTTTTTGAAATTTTAGTTTCATTTAATTTATAAATATTATGAAATTTTTTATTTACGACTTAATAGTTGCAAGTCCTCTAATCTAATTATTCGAGTCCTAAATAGGTTAGGCTAATTGAATGTAAATGAGCTAAGGCCGTAGCTACTTCTTAATATATAATTATTTTTTCTTTTAATGGCATCCCAATAAATTTCTGATCTGAAAAGAGTCTTCCTTCCATATATTAGGTTGCATAAAAAGGAACACCTATTATAGATTGATCAGCACAATAAAATAAAGTTCTAAAAACTGGATAATTTACAGCTGATAATTTTTAAACTATCACATAATCCTTTTCTAGTTGATGTGCCTATTTAATACTACTTTATTATATACAGTTGCATTGTTTTAATTGGATTTAGTATAGAGCACGATCTTTTTATTGGTATTTCTAAAAAGTATTAATGACGAAATTACTTGAATGAAATTTTATAAATAGATTGAGCTAATTATTCGACATCTTCTATCTGAACATCTGTAACACATAAGAAAACTAATAGGGAAGATTATGAATTCAAATAAGTTCCCAATAGATGAGAATTCTAAACTTCTTATATCGACATTGGTGAAATAAATGATTTATTTTTTAAATCTGTGTTGCATAAATAATGACAACTTTCATTCTGCATAAAGTATACATTTAATAATATGTAATTATTGAAATATGATGTCATTAAAAATTAAACTCAATCCTCTTAAGTCCTTAACCTTATAGGATAAAACTCATTTTCATCTCATTTTTGACTTACACCTTATCTTGCCAATTACTTTTACAAATAAGATAATATCTAAAGTTTGTAAAATAAGTAGTAGAACTGAATCCAATTAACATTATCTAGAAGTAAGAAAAACTTAGAATAGAAGTATTGCAAATTAATTTGTTAGTTAAGATAATATTAATCATGATACTTTTATAGATTATCCTTATTTTTAATTATTAAATAGATATATATACTTAATAAATTAACAATGAAAATTGATTATTATTTTATATTATGTAAATTAATATTTCAATTTATAATTTTTATGAAAGAATTAACAATTGTATTTATTAGTATATAATAAAATTTAAATGTTAATAAAACAATAATTCTTGCATATTTACATTATTTTTTAATTTAAATAGTTTATGGATTAGATTGGTGTAAATACAATGCGAAGTGTACAAAAACTGATTAAATCAGCAATTAAAACAAGGGTTTTAACAGCATTTCCAAATCTCCCATAGAATAGTTTTGAAATTTAGTTAGAAACAGTATCAAACAATCTAAATTATGAATACAAAACACCTACTGTTATAAGAATCTTCAATCAATTTAAAAAATAAAATTTATTTGGAGGTAATGTTATTTATTAATAAGGAATATAGATTTGAAATCAGAAGTTGAAGTAGCATAGAAAATAGCATCTACAGAATGTTAAGATAATGTTATTTAAAAAGTTGAGGCAATTGAGAAAGGATATTTAACAATTCAATTAAATAATTAATTTATTGAAGATGAAATAAATGCAATTTTAATAAATGGATTAAAGTTCCCATTAGAAAAGAAATAAGTATATATTGTATTTTATAATAATTTAGAAAGTAGTTGTTGATTTCTCAAGTCCTAATATTGCAAAAGAGATGCATGTTGGTCATTTACGATCAACTATTTTAGGAGAATCTTTATGCAGAATATTAGAATTCTAAGGATAAGAAGTAGTAAGAGTTAATCATATTGGTGATTGGGGAACTTAATTTGGAATGTTGATTAATCATTTATTAGAAGAATATCCAGATTATTAAACTAATAAACCAGCTCTAAAAGAATTAGAAGATTTATATAAGGAAGCTAAAAAGAAATTTGATTCAAATGAAGAATTTAAAGTTAAATCTTAATAATATGTTGTAAAATTATAAGCATTGGATCCTGTATGTATAGATGCTTGGAAAATGATATGTGAATTAAGTCGATAAGAATATAATAAAATTTATCAAAGGTTGAATGTTAAATTAACAGAATATGGAGAAAGTTATTATAATCCAATTCTACATGAAATAGTTAAAGAATGTGAAGCCAAAGGAATTGTGGAATTAGATAAGGGAGCTAAGATTATAAGAGTAAAGGGTGAAAAGGTTCCATTAATGATTGTTAAGAGTGATGGTGGTTATAATTATGATACTACTGATATGGCTGCAGCTAAGACTCGTATTTTAGAATGGAAATGTGATAGATTACTTTATTTAACTGATGTAGGATAATCGAGTCACTTTAAACTTATTTTTGAAGGTGCCAAATTAATGGGATGGCATTAACCACCAATTACATCAATGGAACATATGGGATTTGGTTTAGTATTGGGTCCTGATGGTAAAAAGTTTAAGACAAGATCAGGTGATACAGTTAAGTTGACTAAATTATTGGATAAAGCTAAAAAGAGAGCTTTAAATCAAATTAAATAAAGGATTTAAGAAAATTAATAAGGAAAAGAATTTGCAACTGGAACTGCTCTTTCTCCAGAAGAATTTGATACTGCTGCAGAAAGAATGGGAATAGCTGCCATTAAATATTATGATTTAAAGTAAAGTCGTATATCTGATTATAATTTCGATTATGATAAAATGCTTGATCCAAAGGGTAATACTGCTGTATATTTAATGTATTCTTATGTTCGTATGTTATCTATTTTACGAAAAAGTGGAATTTAAGACTTTGAGGTTTATAAAACAGAAAATAAATTCAAAATAACACATCCACATGAAAGACATATAGCTACATAATTATTGCGATTTGTTGATGTTATATAATCAATAACTGATTAATTAGCAATAAATTGGTTATGTGATTATATTTATGACATTTGTGTTAAGATAGCAGAAGCTTATAATTAAGTAATATATTATAAAATATGAAATTTAGTATCGTATATTGAATGATGAACACACTTAAACAAGGTTGTTATTGTGTGAAGCAATTAGAATGGTATTATTACAATCCTTTTATTTGGTTGGAATTGAACCTATAGAAAAAATCTGAATGGACATTTATTACATTAAAATAAATATATATTTATTTATGTTCCCAAATATTTCAATCTTAAATGAAGAGATTAATGAAGATTAACCTCGTTTAATTGCTTTATCATATACAGATATTAAAAAGTTACTGTCTCCTCCACCAGTCAAGATTTAATCTGAAATTGTTGTTGAAAGATCTAAGGCTAAATCACATACACATGGATTAATTGAATCAAAAGGAGCTGAATAATATCTTATAAAAGTCATATAAAACAATGATTTAGCCGAAATATCAAATTTATTAGATGAAGCAGAGAATATCAATATTTATACAATTATTGATCATAAAAAATACACTCTACTTCATTTAGCTGCATATAACAATAATTTAGATACTGTTAAGTATTTATACATTATTATCTACATTTAGGTTGTTAATTAATCATGTCAAAAAATAACATAAACATAAATATATGAAAATACTTACAGAATGGGTTAATTAATAAACAGAAGATGGATTTGTGGCATTTCATTTTGCAGCATATAGAGGTAATATAGAAATGATAAATGAATTTGAAAAATGTGGTGCTAATTTATATATTAGAAATGCTTAAGGAATGAATGGATTACATTTAGCAGCTTAAGGTGATTAACCAAAATCAGTTGTTTATTTTAAGAAAATTGGTTTTGATTTTGCATAAAAAGATTCAAAAGGAGGGACAGCATTACATTGGGCATCTTATTATGGTTGTGAATTGGCAGTCAATTATTTATTATCCTTTACAGATTAATTATTGGATATTAAAGATGTAGAAGGTTTAACTGCACTTCATTTAGCTACTATGAGTGGCAATAGTAGAATAGTTAAAAAATTATTGCTTTAAGGAGCTGATAGAACAATTAAAAATAATGAAGGATAAATTGCTGCTGATATTGCTAAAGCAAATTCTTTTTAATCCATTTATAAAATGCTTACAGAATCATAAAACTTTTTTATTACTTATTTTAGTATTAGTTAAGGATTCTAAAAGGTTAATAGAAGTAAAGGTAAAATGTTTAAATTTGCTGTTATGTTAATATATTGTTAAGGAATTACTATTTATTATAATTTTTATGCAAATGATTCAATTAATAATTTGATTTACTATGGAGTCTCACAATTATTTGTTTGGTTATTATTTATGATAATTTGGTTAAGTGATCCTGGTAAATAAATCTTAAAATAAGAAAATAATGAATAAGAACTTCTGAAAAATTTATATGATATATTATAAAGATATGATGCCAAAGACATATGTCCTGAATGTGTTTGTGTTAAAGCTCCAAGATCTAAACATTGTGATATTTGTTAATCTTGTGTATTAGTATATGATCATCATTGTCCTTGGGTTGATAATTGTGTAATAATTAATTCTATTATAAGATAGGATAAAACAATCATTTTTAGTTTTACATATTTGTATTACTTCTTTGTTTGGATATCACTTTTACTTTGGCAACTTAGTTTTATTTTGTCATTTAATAAATTCATAACCATGGAGGCATAAAAGATTCATTTATTATTCTTTTTATTCTATCCTTATTTTCCATCATAATTATGCTTTTATTTCTCTTCCCTCTTTGGCTTTTATTATACATTTAAACAATGAATTTATTAACAGGATAAACAACTTATGAAAAGTAATATTAATAATTTATAATCATTAGATATTCATAATCAATAAAAAAGTCTAATAGTTAATCAAATATATCTTGCAATAATTGTCTATAAATGTGTTGTTATAATAAAATAAATAGTTAAGATAAGAAAAAATAAAACCATTAATCGATGTAATTATATGACTCAAATTAAAATTGATAATTTTTAATAATTAATTCATTATTTAGTAAAATTTCATTATTTTATAAAATTAGTATCCTTTTTTATTATGAATTATTGTTGTTTTTATAATAAGATTGTATTATTTTATTTTGAAATTGTTTATATATATATATATTAAACCATTTAACAGTATATTCATATATTAATATATTAATTTAAAAAGAATTTCTTTTAAGAATTAATAGATAAATAAGTATTTTAATGTAAATTATTAAAATATAATAGCTTATTTTGTTAATTTTAATACCAGAAATTTATAATAAATATGTAATTTAATCTGATTTAAAGTCAATAATTATACTATAATAGAATATTGGTTTATTTTTTAAAATATTTAAGTGAATATGTAATTACAGGATTGTTATATTCAATATTTATCTAAATTTATATATATATATATATATATATGTAATAATAATTTATATAAATAATATGTTACAATTTTTAATCACTAATAGCCACCAGAATGTTATTGAAAAGTTTGATATAAACTTATGAAACTTGATATAGTTCCTAAAATAACCGCTTTTTCTTATGAAATGGCTTTTGTATTCACATAAGAATAAGACACTGGTATATCTAGACTATATTTTACTAAATTTTATATAATCTGAATCTATCTAACTCTTATTTTATTCTTGGGATCCTTTTGTAATTGTGATTTATAGATTTCTTATTAATTAACTCTATATTCAAGACATAATGTTATAAACCATCCTATGCATTCAACAAAATAAAATTTTGGACTAATTTCTTTTGTTATTAACAATAATTTAACATTTCTACATAATCCAATTTAACACATCCAAAAGATTAAATCATTTATATCCGTAAGTATTAGGTAAGCATAAAATAAAACATCATTTAGATTTCTATAATATCTTAATTCATTTTTGCTCCATTATTATTTGAGTTTATTCAATAGAATCTGTATATAGAATGCTGTTCGTGACCATCGTAATATCTTAAAATATTGATTTGCAATACTCTTCTAGTCATAGAAAAGTGTGAACATATAATATCAACTTTGTTTTACCACATCTTAAGGCATTCACCACTTTTCATTTTCCTTAATAAATGTAATTTGAAGAACCGTAACAGAAAAGTATAAGTCCTAATTGATAAATTTACATTACCTTATCATTCTATCTTGGCCTAATACTGTAGAATTTACTTTGTGTATCTTAGTTACGGTTCCTAGAATCATATAATCAAAAAATTATAATAAAATTAATATATATTAAATATATTCTTAAATTCTAACTACAATTATCTTCAATATAAAATACAAAATATCATTTGTAAATTATGATAAATATTGTATCAATTTAATTCTATTTACATTTTAGTTTTCTTAAATAGATAGTTATGATCTATTGAATAATAAGTCTTAAGAAATTATAATCAACATAATATTAAATATTATGATAAATGAATCTAAATCTTTCTAATTGCTTCAAATTTTAAATTTAAATAACAATTAACAGCATAAATACGAGATCCTATATTTTCAATTCTTTGTTTTAATTAGTTAATTTAACATAATTTAGTTTATATAATTAAACCTTTTGATAAATAACATTTATGTTGATTTCTTAGACACTTTTCATTTTTTTCTAATTCTATGTTGATAAATGGATTTATTTTCAATTCATATTTAAATCCTTTTTTATTATCATTTCAAATTGGTTAATTGTTTCACTATCTAATGTTTCTATTATTGAGATAATGACAATATAAATTTAATTTAATATGATTTAGTGTAATTATAAAAATAACTTTTACTTCTTCCAAAACTATTTAATAAAATTTCAAACTTAAATGTAGCTTAAAAGACTTAATTATTTTTTTTGTAATTTCCTCTTAAAAACTTTATTTATGAGTAAATGGATAACTTGATTAACAATAATTAATTTATATAAGCCATTCTAAAATTATAAGATAGTTAAGATATATTTTCAGAAAGATTATTTTGATAACAAAATATTCAAAATAAGATATTCTAGCTCAATTAATTAAAATGAATTAACATACTTATTTAGTTCTCTTTCACTCTTACTTCTTAATTATGATAATAAAAATGTAATTTTTCTAATTTATTTATATATTGTAATTATTTTATCGAATTCTTTAAAGTCTAATAGATTTATTCAACATGATATATAACTTTAACTCTTATATCATTTACAGATTATTCTTGTTTTTATGATCAAATTTAAGTAAGGATTTAATATATGATTTAAATATTCAATAATATACTGCTTAATTGTTTGAATATAAAGATCTTCTAAGACTTAAATATTGAATTTATATTAAGGTCAGCAAAAATTATGAATATATTAAGTTTTTTGTAATTTTATTATTGATATGTGAGTTATTTTTAATATTAATTTAATTAATTTATGTACTATTAACCAGCTTAAAAGGTATTACTCAGTAATAAATTCTCATCTCAACCAATAATAGTAAATTGCTTATTTAGTATTTTAGATATAATAAAATTTTTAAAGAAAATTGAATTCAAATCCATTTGACACACCCAGGTACTAAGCAGAAAATTAGACTGCTAAGACATAAAGATAAAAATTTGTTAATATTGATGACCATTTTTCAAATCTATATTGTAATCTAAAAGAAGAAAATCAATAATTAAAAGAATAATTGAATTAATTAGAATTGAAAGTGTTAGCAGCCTAAAAGAAACTAGAATTGTTAAAATAATAATGAATATATAATATTTAATTAATTAATTGATATATTTTTATAATAAAAACAGCTATTTTGATTACTTTACTAAAAACAGTATAATGAGTTGTAATTAATGAATAGAAATTTCAGAACCTTTTTATAATGTCATTTTCTCATAAGTATGAAATTATTTATTTTATCAGACTCTCAACTTTATGATTAAAGTGATATTTTTTAATAAAATTTAATTAATGCAGTCATTATATTAAATGAGTCCAAAATCAACTTCTAAGAATAGATAACAATTCTAAACTTGTTTTGATTATAATGAGTCACCATTTTTAAGTCCAAAAGTAGAATCTTTTGAATAACATAAATATAGAGTTAGAACCTTAAAACCAAGAACTTTTCTTGATGGTGATCTTGCTAGAGTAAGTAAATCAAGAAATGTTTTATGTACAAATACTAATGAATGTATAAAATGTAAAGGTGAGAAAGGAAGTTTAGCAATTAAATTATGCAATTGTTTAGATACATATTACCATATAATTTGTATCCTAGATTATGCTAATCTTCATCCTAAATTAGGACTTAATTTATTTCGATGTTAAAATTGTAATGATTACTTTCCAATTTAAATCAATGAAAAGTACAATATATTTTTATAAATTATAAGACTGAGCATTTCAAATCTAAATACAAAAGAAAAATTTGTATTTTTAATGAGTTTTTCTTTATTTTTTTCATTGATTACACTAGAAATTATGGTCATTGCATTGTTTGAATTAGAACATATGGATCTAATTTTATTAATAATACTAATAATTATTGAATTATTAGTATTATTAATAATTATCAGTAAATTTTATCATTTATGTTACTTAATCGAATATGATATAAAAGAATTTAAACTTGGACAAGAGTATGATTAATCTTAATTGGAATTATTCACTCTTAAAATTGTTAAATAGCTTTAATATAAAAGAGCAAAGAGAGTAATACTTAATTAAGAGCCATGAATACTAGAATGTTTTTTTAACACTACATATAGATTTTATTGAATTTTATTGTCTTTTTCAAATTTCTAAATAAATCGTTTATTATTATTATAATTGCTAAACAAACTTAGACTTATAAAATGAAAAGTATAAATATTGGTCCAAAAGTTTTGCTCTAATAGAATTAAGTTAAATAACAAGATGATGATGAAGATGTACCTGAAGAACCCTCTCCTATTTTAATTAAATAAAAAATAATAAAAGTCATGAAATACAATGAACCAAGATTTGATGTGAAAGGTAGACAAATTTTCAAAGGCACTGGTTATGGAATAGCATTTGATAATTTTGTAACCGTATGTGTATTTAATCCTGATGAGGAAGTGTTGTCAATAAAGGACACAATTTCTTAATGTACAAATATACAAGAATAGGAGAAGTTTCACATCAAATCTAGTAACAATAAAAAAATAGAGGAATATCAAAAAGAAATAATCCTCAAATCAATTCTTAAATAAACTAAACCAAATCAATGAAAACTAGTTTGAATTCAATTTCTTTATTTAATATTTTGTTTATCAGAAACAGACTTATAAATTTATATCCAAATAAAATCATATCATATTAGTAGAGTTCCTTATCAAATTTGCTATTTAAAAATACTCTCTTTTATAATAATTTAATAATTTAAATGCAGATTCTACACAAATTAAATTAACATATATAATTTAGAATTAATCTTAATTATTTTAAAATTAACTCTCAGTTCACAGATTATACGCTTATGAATTAAATTTATTATTTAAATTTGATCTAAGAATTTACCATTTAACATTAATATACTTTTTAATATATAATTAATGTAAATAAATCAATTATATTTGTTTCCTTTCAAAATTTCAATACTATTTAGAAATAAATAGTTATAAGTTAGAGAATAATAGTTGATTAAGGAATTAAAGAAATTTTTTAATATTCGTTTACATTTATATAAATTAATTATTATATGTCTAATTAACATACTTAATCATACAACTCCTCCATCATATATACACCAATTCCATTGAAGCTATCATTTAGTGCCTCTCGTTCCAGTTGGTAAAGTTCAAATTCTAACATCCTTGAAGAAAGTACTTCACAGTAAGAATCTTCATTAACAAATTCCCGAAGTCCAAGAAAAATTTTGTATTTTGTAATGAATAAACACGTATAGACTTACAAAATTTGAATAAGAAAATTAAGAAAGACCTGAAAACCCTATGACAAGAGATGAGAAATTTAAAGAACTTTAAACCCTATTCTTACATTTTGATCCTGAATCATTTATTACAGAGGTTGAACTATTCGATTGAATTATCCAACCATTTTAATTGTGACTAAAGTATTCATAATCAAAAATATAAACTCTAACAACAAAATCAAATGCCACTCTTCATATAGAAAACAATATATTAAAATATATTCTTTAACTAATTCTTTATCAGTTAATTGAGAATCTGATGCATATAATATTGTAAAAATAATCAAATTATTATAATTATAATTAATTATTTTTACATTTCTATTCTTGTTCTAAATGTATTTATATATATAAAGACCTCTTTTTATAAATAGTTAATTAGAATATTTAAATAATCTTTATATTATCCATGATATTTTAGATTGTTTCTATAAGATGTATTACCAAATTAAAAGGCTTGAGTTAATATTTGTTATATTTATTATTGAAGCAATAATATATATAATAATCGCTAAGTATTTATTCATACTAATAATAATATTTTATAAAATGATATATAATTTTCTATATCTTAAAATTTATATATCTATAAATTATTCTCAATCTTAAGAGTCTTCATCTAAATATTCCTATACTGGTTAAATGAGTTGAGAATCAAATTTACATTGTACTTTGACTCCTGCTTATACTTTCTACCATTTCAATTTAAGAATTTATCTATTTCTTTCTAATAGTTCTTATTCATTTTATTCAAAATTATTTATATTATCTCTCCAACTTTAATATTATAATTTTAATTCATCAAAAGATTCCTATTATATATTACCATTCTTTATTTCTTTTAGTATATTTGTTGAATTGTTTAAAATTTAATTGACAAATTAAAGATCTGCTCCTTTTAAAGTATTTTATCTCAATTTCAAAAGTTCCCTAATTATATATAATATAAATACTTTTAAAAATTATAAATATTGATTATCAGACTCTCATATTAAATGTCTTTATATTATGATTAAATATCCTTAAATTATACTTTATGGAATTGATAAAATCTTAGAACTTAAGGATTTTATTTATTTTATAATTTTTATGTAATTTTATGTTGAGATTTAAATTATCTCCATTTCTTTAATAAATTAATCCCATTCTTTTTAATTTGTTCTGCTTCTATAAAGTAACCATCCCATTTGTTTAAACAATTTTAGTAAATTACTTAAGTGTTTTGATTGAAGACTTATTAATTAATTTATAAAGTAATTAATTTTTCTTCAAAATATCCTTTGATAAATAATACATCAATTTTATGAATTAAATCTGATTATAAATTTAGATTATTTTGATTCACACATTAATGTAATTTTTATAATATGGATATGTAGAATCATTAGAAAAAGATTAGCATAACCTCTCTTTTATTTCATAAGTGATGTTCTATAAATTTATCATAAAGACTATTAAAAATAAATTAGATAGATATTCATAATACTCAGAATTACATGTATCTATATAATAAAATATTTATTCTATAAAATCTAAGATGATATCAGTTTTAGTTATTTTAAATAGAGGTTAATCAAACTTTTATTTATATGATATAATATCTTAATATTTTTATGGAATTTAGATTTACATTATTCCTTCTTAAGCCAAAAGTAACTTTATGCCAATTCTGATTAAATGATTCATCCATTCATCTAAATATATTTTATCTTCAAAATATTAACTATAATTAATAAAGCAGTCATATGAATCTTCAATAATATCATAATGTTAACACTCTAAAAATTCTAAATATTTTAAATAATACTCTGATTCTTCCTTTTCTTTCATATTAAGTAAAGTAAATATTGCAAATGGGATATTATCTTATAAATGTAACATATTTAATGCTAAAATATAAAAGCCATGTTTTTATTTTTCATTATTTAATCCTTATTCAAATAATATGATGCATTCATTTTTTAAATGATATTTAATTTATTAATCCATTATATTGAATCTGATATTTGTCTATAATAGCCATTTATGAAAAATTCTCATTTCATCATTTTTAGTAAAATGCAAAATGGATGTTTCATGATCATCAACTGTATTTACAGGATTTTTTTATTTAATCCCATATATAAGTTTTGAATAATAATCTATTTAATCTTTTTAATTCATTGTTAAATGTGGAAGGATATTCTCATATTAATATTTTAACCTTTATTTTAAACTATTAAAGATATTTTTCATTTCTTGCTAATCTTCCTAAATTTAAATTGTTTATGATAATGTTACAATTGATTTGAAATTGCAAAAATATTATTTAAATAGTTTACCTAAAGTATCAAAAGGTATTAAGATATATTCATAAGCTATATCTATAAACATCATTTATTCATTTACATTACTAATTAGATTAGATGTGATATGAATAATGCAAAATTAAGAAAAATCAATCATTATATCTCCTATGGGAAAAGAGAATTTGAATAAGAATTAGAGTGCTTCAATTATATTATTTTTGTTATGAGCAAAAGGTAATTGATTTATACAATATTATTATTGAAAAACTAAATCAATAATTAAGGAATAGGAATCTATTTCAAACTTTAATATTCCCATACAACATAACATACATAAAATTATAGATTCTATTTATTTGAGCTTCTCTTTATTTGATAAATTTTATTAATATAGTTTTGAATTATTAATTAATTATATTAGATTTTTGTTTGTCAATTTTCTTTAGGAAGCACATTAAATAGTAATTTCGAATGATTCATCAATATTTATATTATATTTATTAGAGGAATTTGATAAGAAACATTATTCCATTTAAATAAAATAGTTATATTTAATTAATTAATAATGTTCTTCATCTGTCAACTATTTAGTTTCTCTTTATTCTTTAATTTTTTGAATAAGATTTATTAAATCATAATAGTTGTTAAAAGATTAACATAATTTAATAGCATTTAAATAATTCAATTAATAAATTATAGTTCTCCAATAACCTAATCCTATCAATGATTTATAAGATTCAATTCCAAAACTATTAGAAGAATGAAGTATATCTTCATTTTTAAATTATAAATAAATTGGATTGATTGATTCTAAAATATTATTGAATGTTAATTAAGCTAAAATTGATTGATCTAATAAACGTTTTCTTTTTAAATTGTTACCAATTATCCAATTTTCTAATTTAAATTTATTTTTATTTATAGGAGTATATTAAGATGCCAAAGAAATTAAATATCTACCTAAATGTGAAGATAATTTGAATTGATTGCAAACATAAATACAAAGTTTATAATTTTTAAAATGCTCTAATATATCCAATACAAAATAAACACATTCTATATCATATTTCTCTAAATCATATAAAAAATTAATCATATGATCCATTTCTTTTTCTTCTTATTTTCTAAATGACAATAATACACTTTAACTTTTTTATTTTTCTAATAGAAGTTTAAATTCATTCTAAAACTATTTAAATCTTTCACATATTTGAACCATTACATTATTTTTTATAAAAATGTTTGATCTAGATTTAAGAAGTGGAGTATTTAAAGGTTGATTCATCAATAAAACATTTGAAAATTATGATTCTATACTAGAAGTAGCAATAAATTTAATTAAAGATTTATTATCAATTTTAATCCATTCATCATCTGGATCATAAAAAGATAAATGATCTAGTGATTCATCTAATACTACTTGAAAAGATTAAGAATCATCATCAATATTAATTATTTACTTATTATTTTATTATCTAATTTAACTTTCATTAACTTAAAAGCATTCTGATTAACTGTTATGATTATTAAGTTCTTCTTATTGTTATTCTAATTACTCTTACTTTTCAATATCCTCTATTATTGATTTGAAATATTTTGGAATTATCATACTTAAGAACATTAATTTTTCTTCAATAGAGAATTATTCTTTATTTAATTAATCTAAAGAAGCATCCCAGAGTCTTTGTTTATTAAAACATTCAATAGATCTTCTTATATCACCCAATTCTGAGAATAGTTGACCAGCTAGCTAATATTATCCTAAAAAATAAGCTGATTCAGCCATTTCATTTTTGCAATTTAATTATTAATATAATATCATTGCCTTCTAATAACTTTTTGCAGAGAAATAACAAGAAGCTGCTCTTTTCAGTAGATTTATTTCTTCAAAGATTTATGCTGCTTAATTAAATAATGAAATATTATTTTAATTAAGAGTAGCTTATGTTGCTAAATTATAAGCCATACATTTCTTTGCTAATTCTATTTCAGTAGCAAGCATAAAACATTTATAAGCTTATTCATAATTATTCTATCTAAGCATTCTATATCCCTATTTTTTCCAATTAGACTTATTATCTATTGAAAATGATAATACAAACTTTTAAACTTAAATTTATTATAATTAAGTTTCTTAAATTATTTCCACTAAATCTAATTCTTGCCAAATCTTCTGAATATGAAGTCTATTTTATAATGATTAATCAAATATAATTAATTTCTTTTTTGGTCTAGTTATAGCTACATAAAGTTATTTCAATTCATGTTATAATGTAAGATTGATTTTTTTTGATTTTTTATTATATTTTACTTGTTATTATGATGTTTTTCTCTTAATTATAACTTTGTCAATTCCACTTCATATTCATTAATGTTTTTATGATGTAAAAAAAAGTTTTAATTAGCTAAATAAAATAATTAATTATACATTTAGTACTCCAATTATGTTTATCCATTTTTATTTTGATTATTTCTAATTATTGGAATTCGCTCCATATATTATCATCTTCATTTATATCAGTGAAAAAGTTAAATAAAATAACATCATCAAATTCTAATCCCTTTGCTTCATAAATAGTTAAAATTATTGCATTCTATAATTCTATTGGAATTTTTAATTTAGAATCTTAATCTTTTACAATAATTACAGAATTAGAACCAAATTCTACATTACTCTATTTATTTCTATATTATTTTAATAAATAATTTAATAGATCCTAATTTTAACAACTCTAAATAATAGTTGGTTTAGGTCCTTATTAATTTGATTTCTCTTTTTATAGACAATCAAGTTAATTTGGAAATAATATTTCAATTGAATTGATTAATGTATTACCTAATTATAAAATTTAATTGCTTGATCTGAAATTATATGATAATTTTATTAATGTAGTCTTAGCAATATTTTATCTAATTGATTAATTACAAGTTCTTTCTCGATCAAGACAACTCTATATTTCTAAGAATTTCATCCCTATACCTTTTACTATATTTTAAGCATTATCACCAGCTAAAAATAACTAAATTTATGTTATTCTATTTAGAAGAATTAATAATGCTTTAGGTACATCTTATAGTTCATCAAGAATAATATAATGCATATATTCAATAATATCATTACAATATACTTATTAGTAATTTATATGATTAATTAAATCAAGAATATCATAATAGTCATATTGTGATTTTAATTTCTCATATATTAAAAATATTTAAAAAACTTCATTAGGTTATGACTAACTTTGAAAATTATATCTTTTCATATATTCTTTTAAATTAAGATGAAAGTTTGGATATTGATAGGATGTTTCATTTCCTTTGATAATTGTGATGATCTCTGACCAAATTATAATAGGATCTAATGAACTAATGCTTTATTTTTAATACCATGTTAATTCTTAAATAATTTTAGGCCAGAAAAACTCTTTAAAACATTCCAAAGTAACTTCCTTCATTTTATTATTGTGATATATTATTTCTTTTGAGTCTAGATCATTAAATTCAGAATCTAACTTCTCTGTTAAATTATTTGTAACATTTTAATTCAAAGATAAAACTCCAAAATATTCATTATGCCATTATGCTGATCTATGTATTTATTCTGTTTTTTTAAAAAAAGGATTTTATAATTAAGAATCTAATAGAAATAATAATTTTCTTATAGTAAGAAATGCTGGAAATTATTTAATATCTTAAATAGTTTAAAACTATCCCATCTCTTTTTCAAATTAATCAACATCTTCTTCATCTTCATCTTATATTTCAAATTAACTTTCATTTTCATCTTACTCTCCCAATAAATCTAGAATTTATACAGTACTATCATCTAAATTGCATTTTTCTTATTCTGAAATCTTTTAAATTCTATTCTTTTATCTTAAATTCTCTTCAACATTTTTAACCATATTTTCATATTTCTATTTAATCTATTAAGCTAATAAAGGACTAGATGTTAAAAATAATGTTTTTAATTAAATTCCATTTTATAATTACTAATTATATTACATATTAATTTTAGAATTACATTCTTTAAAATAATCTAAATTCTATCTTAACATAAATATTGCATCAGTTATAAATAATTTTAATAATGATATAGTAGTTTTACCAGTTCCACTTCTTCCAATTAAGATTGTATCACCTTCTTAAGAAATAGCTTGAAATTATTCAATATTTATTGTAAATTTTTCATTCTTAATATTTTTTAATAAATTTTTATATTATTCAAAATTTGGAGTGAATAAGTATTTTTTCAATAAATGGAATTAAGATTATAATTAAGTTTTTGTTTAAATTCTTATTTAATAATTATGTATATAAATTTATTTGATCCACCTTTAAAATTTTTTGTGAAATACATATTAATCAACTTAAAAATTATAAAGTACGAATTTTCTAGGTAAATTTAAATTTTGATTGATAATCCTATCTTTTGATTGAATTGATTGTTTGATTTCATATATTATAGAAAGATCATTTTAAATAAAAGGATCTTCTAATTATTCATCTAAATAATCATTAAGATGATTATGCTTTTAATTATTATTATAAGTGATAAATACCATAGTATCAACATACCATAAATTAGAATTTTTACTTTTTGAATTATAATTCTCTATTTATTTTGGAATTATTTATAAAATAATAGCTTCATAAGAATTAAATTAATTATAGACCTGATAAATTTATGTATGTGGTAAAGTATGTCTATATAATTCAATCTTTGCAAATCTATATATATGTTAATTAGAGAACTCTTATGAATGTTGATGATTAATTTCAAAATCACCTTTTAAAATCGATTTCATTAAATATAAAATTTATGGCAAATTTTTAGAAAGTCCTTAATCTTGACTTAGTTATTATAAGAAAGTTGCTTTTTAATATTTTATATATAAATACGTGTCATTGTAAATTCCCAAATTCTTTCTGGAAATAATAAATTTAAATCAAATCTAACCAACATTTTTTTGATTGGACTATTTGATACAAGTTTTAATGGTAACCAATTTCCTTATTTATCTCTCTACTATGAATTAATATAATATTCGAAGTAATGTGGTATAAAATAGGTTATAAAATTTATTGATTCGAAATCATATTGAGCATAAAATTCTTAACCTAAAGTTATAAGTCTTTATTCCTCTTCTAATAACTTTTGCTTTTTTTCAGAAACATTTTCCGCTTTCATTTATTTTAATAAATTAATTCTTTAATATAATATTTATGATAAAAATCTTTAAACTTTACATAAATGTATTTTCTGATAAAATTAATTAAATGTAGTTCAATTATTTTTAAAATGATTGAATTGTAACCTTATAAAAGTATTTACATTTATTTTCTTTATAAAAATATAGGATACTTATATATTGAAATATTAAACATTTAAATCAATCTACAAAATTTTTATAAAATTTGAATTTATTTTTTATAAATACTCTAAGAATATTAACATTAATGGATTTTAAAATAGAAATTGTGGATATCAATATGAATATCAATACAAAATAATTTGATGTTTATAATAATTATCATTTAATAATATAATTTGAACATCATTTTAATCAAGAATAATTATATTTTTTATATTTTTTTTATATGAATTCAAAAGTTAATTTATTCTCAGATTATGAATTAAAACTAGAGTATAGAAAAAATGATAAAAAAATAATTTAATTCAAATTTTTACTTTTTTTTGTAAAATTAGAATAAACTCTTAATAACATATATATTCAATTATATAATTATATCTGAATAAATGTTAGAGTAAGATGAGATGAAAAATGGAAATTCGAATCTGTAATCTGTGAATAAGAAAATGAGATAGATTTTAAATTGTTTATATACCATTTTGAACTTCTCTTAAGTTAGCTGTTTAAATATATTTAATTCAATTTTTATCATAATTCATAATAAAAATAATAATTATTTTTCAAAAAATTCTATCTAACTTTAACTAAGATATTGTTTATTTTAAATAAATATCTTGGAGAGTTATATTCTCAATTGCATTTATAAGTCCTACCTGGATCTTTTATTTAAAAAAAAACTTTATATTGAATATAATTTATAAAATTACTTAAAAATATTATAAACTACGTATTTATCATTAAGATTGTGTTCAATTATATTTTTAGTACTAAATTATTAAGGTGTTGTTTATCTGAACTTGAAAATAATAAATAATTATAAAAAATAAAATTTCTTTATTGAGATGAATCATCAAGTATTTGCTTTATTTTGATACTAGAAAACTAGTTCAATTATTATTAGAGCTTATAATCAGGCAGAAAAGCAAATTTAAAAAAGTTTACCTATTTCTAAAGATGTTTAAAGTATTTTTATTTTAGAATTAAAGCATATAAAATAGGGTGTTCTTAAAGTATTGGTGATTAAATTGTTTTACATAATTATTTTGATTTACCTTTTGTAGATAGCTTAAGTAAATTTCATTTTGAACTTGATATCTCTTTGCTTTTGTTACCTCAAAGCAAATAGGAATTTTTAGATGAATATAATGAAGTTTTCCAAAGTTTAAACATAGATAAGCAGATAATTGATAAAATTGGATAATTTACAATTATTTCTAAATAGAGATTATAAATTAAAGATATTTCTGGAAGAATAGGATACCCAAGTTTAATAAACATAACATAGTAATGCGAAAATCAAGTTCTAATAAAAAAGAATGTATATATTATTGGTCTTTCATCATCAATATAAGTAGAACAAAATAATCAAGTTTTTGGAGATTTTTTGGTAAGCCAAGAATTTTATGAGAAAACAAAAAAGGCTATAGTTTTAGGAGTAAGTTCAGGTTTAGATAAACTTTTTAAATAATCATTTGAAGGAAATATTTCAAAGAATGACTTTTATTAGACTTTAAATTCAGAAGAATTGAAATAAGTAAAATTTTTAATTTATTAATTAGGAATTTGACGAATTTTATTCTAAAGATTGCTTATATATAAAAGTTAGAGATGATAATATAAAGTTTTAAAGTTATTTACTTGTGGAAAACTCAAAAAATAAAATTAATATCTAATCAACTTAAGATTTAAGAGATATCTAATAATATGAAAAATGTAGAAATTCATTTTCAGTTGATAAGTTAAAAAAAGAAGTTGGAAACTCTAGAGATAAATTTACTATTGGAAGAAACTAATCATCTGATATAATATTTAAATCAACAGCAGTTTCTAATTATCATGGAATGATATAATACAATAAAAATAGGAGAAAATGGATGATTATTGACGGATATTAAACAGATAGTGAATGGAAGTCAAGTAGATATGGAACATGGTTAGAGATGAAACCATAATAAAAATATTATTTGGATAAAGGATAAATAATAAAAGTTTAAAATTTGTAAATTACCTTTTAACAGGAATGATTATTATATAAGTCATATAAATACATATATATTTAAGATTAATTTCTTTTATAATGGGACTTTTGAAAATTATCAAAAAAACAAAAGAGAGAGAAAAAGAGATGAGACTATTAATTTTGGGATTAGATAATGCAGGAAAGACTACTATACTAAAGAAATTTAATGGTGAAGACATTTCTCAAATTTCTCCTACTTTAGGTTTCAATATTAAAACACTTACTTATAATGGTTATAAGTTAAATTGTTGGGGTAACATATTATTATAATTTTAGATGTTGGTGGATAATAAACAATAAGATCATATTGGAAGAATTATTTTGAACAAACTGATGGATTAATATGGGTTGTAGATTCAACTGATAAAGCTCGTTTAGATGATTGTAAAAAGGAATTATAAAATTTATTAAAATAAGAAAAATTGATAGGAGCAACATTATTGATTTTTTGTAATAAATAAGATGTACCAAAATCATTAAGTCTACAATAAATAAGAGAGTATTTAGAATTAGATCTAATTTAAACCAGACATTGGGGTATTATTGCATGTTCAGCAGTAACTGGAGATGGATTATTAGAAGGCATTGATTGGATAGTGACTGACATTTCAAGCAGGATTTTTATGATGAGTTGATAAAATAATAATTATGATTATTGTATTGCTAATATTACTATTTGATGTTAATGCAGATTGGTACCATAGCACTTTGGCATTTACATTAGCTGCAAATAATTATCAATAACATTTGGGAAAGGAAAAGCATGTAAGTAATTAACGAAACAGGTTGTTTTAGATTTCTTTACTCCATGGTGTATATATTGTCAACATATGGCAGGAGAATTCAATCAAGTTTTTGAACACTATTAAGCAACTAGACCAGATATCTTAATTGCTAAGATGAATTGTGATGAGTAACAAAACTAACATATTTGTCATCATTTTGGAGTGCATTCATTTCCTACAATTTTATATTTTCCTCCTGGATAAGATAGACCAACTTCTTAGTTTCAAAATCATAGAAGATATGATTTTTTTGTTTAATGGATAGATTCTTTGGCATAGATGTCTGAAGAGACTAAATAGGAAATATAATAATAGAAATTAGAGAAGATGTTAAAAGAATAAGAAGAATAGGAATAAAGATTAAGAGAGATGATGGAATTAGAGAGATAGAAATAGATTGAATTTGAAGAATAAGAAAAAAAAAAGGAAGAAGAGATAAGAATTTCATAATCAATTTAATAATAAATTGTAGAAGCTAATACTTTTATTGATACAATTAAAGGGATGGAAAAGGAAATCTATGCTTTATAATAAAATACAGCAGAATTGAATAGTAAATTGAGTTAAATAAAGAAAATGCCAAAAGTTAATGTCAATCATGCTTTAGTTTTTGCAATTATAGGATTCTTTATTGGAATAGCTATGACTTCTTGTATATGTTTATTTTAAAAAACTAATCATGTGAATACAGAAAAAGGGATTTGATATATTATATCATCATTTATTAAAAATGATCATTTTTTCTTAATTTAAATTAGTATAGTTTATGACTTTTATTATAATAAATATTTATAATTTTTTTTGATTAAATATATATGTATTTATAAATTGTTCATTAAATCAAAATATTCATTATCATGATAGCCATAACAAGTATTTAAGCAAAAGATGCTTCGACATCTGGTATTTCACTTACACTTGCTGTAATAGCAGTCTAATTATAATTGATAATATAAATTACTCCTTTCAAAATCTTTCTACCATTTAAATGTTAGATGGGTCTATTGTTATGTTTAATTGGAAATAGAGTAGAGTCACTTAGGAAATCTTAGAATTATTTCAATTAAGTTGATGAAATTGGTAACGGTTATTAGAATACTACCCAATTTACAGTTTATGAACATGGAAGTGTAGTTAAACTTCCATTATAATGATAATAGGTTGTATCAGACATTTTTTAAAAGAAATCACTAAATTAAGTTTAAAAGGATTACTTTAAATCAAAGGATTCGACTTCACCAGTAGCATTTGAATCAAACCATGGTTTAAAGACATCATAATCGACAGCACTTTAAGATTCTTAAAACATTAGTCCAAAGACAGTTAATTTATTTTTCACTTTATTACAATCTTATTCATCATCTTAAATAGCCTAAAATGATAAGATATATATGTACTTAATGAACAAAATGGATTTCCAAATCATAATATTTTCCATCGATGGTATGTTCTGATGGTGTATGAATATGGAATTATTTGGCATAATAACGTATAATTGAACCAGAAGCATCAGTTACTTCTATCTCTGAATACTCACCTTCATATTCTTTGGTATATGGTTCTAAAATTATGTCATCAAATAAATTACTGTTTGCTTCTTCATATCCAACAGCTGCATCCTTACTTTAATAATTGATTTAAGGTTGTACAGCTTCCTGAGTAGTTCCACTTGTTATAATATCTATTGGTGATTAGAAACTACCTCCACATGTTACAACAAAATCTTAATTGATTATTTGTAATTACCTGCCCAGTTAGCAGCGTTAGTATAACTCCAACCAGTAGCGCCAAAATCTGCTGCAGAAACACCATCTGCATATATTGGATCAGGAAGAGAACAATAATCTCTAGTTACTTCATTTGTTGTTGTTTCTGCTGATATAAATGTAGATAACAAAGCAAAAAATCCAAAAATCATGATTTAAATAAATAATTTAGTGTAAATAAATAATTCATTAATTCTTATATATATAATTATTATAATTTTGGATATATTAAAATTAATAAATTT